AATCCTCACAATCACCATCCACATCTACATTCAGATCAAGAATAATACATCCTTCAGTCTGAGATGACTTTAAACTACCATATACCCAATCTCCTATCTCAAATTCTCCCTCCTTGTCTTTCTTTTCAAGTCCTATATATGCTGGTTCAAGTCTCATGATTTGGAATATCTCCTCTCCTCAAGAAAATCAAGAAAATCCAAAACCAAGTTCTACTTTCACCAACAGAAAATACAAGCCTGTACATCAAAGAATTTGCCTGGTTCCAGCTGTTTTCCCTGAAGATGCTCGTGTAACTCGAAGATTTCCCAATGATCCCCTTCTCACTCTTCCTGTACTATCACCCAACCCTCCCAACTTCATTCCCACTCCTAAACTCACTCATGAACGCCTCAAGATCCTCAATATCAATCCTGATGGTTTCTTATGGCCTGAAGAAGAAAATCTTATTATGATGGTATTCACAAATAACCAAAGAGTCTTAGCATATGGCAATTCAGAAAGAGGAACACTTTGTTCAGATTATTTCTCTGACTACATCATGCCTGTTATTGACCACATCCCCTGGGCTAATCCCCAAATCCCTATTCCTCCAGCCTACCTCGAACAAGTCATCAAGCTCACAAAAGGCAAAATTGAATCTGAAGTTTATGAGCCTAGTCAAGCCTCATACAGATCTGCTATGTTCTACACTCGAAAGAAAGATGGTGGTTTATGACATGTCATTGACCTTCGAACACTCAATGGCATTACTATCAAGGACACAGGACTCCCTCCAGTCATCGACTCATTTGTTGCTCCCTTTGCTGGACACTCCATCTTTTCGGTTTTTGATCTCTTTTCAGGCTATGATGCCAGACGTATACACCCCAAGAGCCATGATCTCACTTCATTCCAAACTCCACTAGGACTTATGCGATATCAAAGTTTACCTCAAGGCTACATCAATTCCTCTGCCAAATTCCAGAACTGCACTGTCTTCATTCTACAAGATGAAATCCCTGATAATGTTGGTGTTATGATCAACAATCTCGGAAACTCAGGCATTCATTGTTTTGTTTGGGAACACGCCATCATTGTCAATTGAATCCTACATTGAATTGCACAATGTGGTGCTACTATCTCTCCAAAGAAGTCTCAAGTCGCTCGACCTGATGTTCTACTTGTTGGTCAAAGAGTCACATATGAAGGATGACTTCCAGATCACTCTACTATCTCCAAAATTCTCAAGTGGCCTGCTCCAAGAAATACAACCAAAGTTCATGGATTTTTAGGACTTTGTGGTACATCACGTATTTGGATCAAGAATTATTTGGCACTTGCAAGACCACTCACTGAACTCACTTGCAAGATTGTTCCTTTCGAATGGAATGAACGTCGACAAGAAGCTATGGATGCTCTCAAGCAAGCTGTTGCACATTCTCCTGCCCTCATCACCATCGACTACAAATCAGGACGACTTGTCATTCTTGCAGTTGACACTTCCATCATTGCTATTGGTTTCATCATCTTCCAGCTTGACAAAAACAATCAAAGAAGACCAGTACGATACGGCTCACTTCCTATCAATGAACAAGAATCAAGATACAGTCAGCCCAAGTTAGAACTCTATGGTCTCTATCACTCCCTTCGTCATTCAAGAATTCATCTCGCTGGTATCAAGAATCTACTTGTTGAAACTGATGCCAAGTATATTCGCCAAATGATCAATCATCCAGACCTTCAGCCAAATGCAACTCTCAATTGCTGGATAGAGGGTATTCTTCTCTTTGATTTCGAACTCAAACATGTTCCAGCTGCTCTAAACAAAGGCCCAGATGGACTCTTTCGTTGAAGACCTGCAGAAGACGACTTAGATGTTGAAGAAGAAGATGACAAAGAAGAAGAAGAAGAAGAAGATGACAAAGAAGAAGAAGAAGATGACAAAGAAGAAGAAGAAGAGAAGATGATGACAAAGAAGAAGAAAAAGAGAAGATGATGACAAAGAAGAAGAAGAAGAAGAAGATGATGATGATGACAAAGAAGATGAAGATGATGACAAAGAAGATGATGATGATGACAAAGAAGATGATGATGATGACAAAGAAGAAGATGATGATGACAAAGAAGAAGAAGAAGATGATAAAGAAGAAGAAGAAGAAGAAGAAGAAAACAACTATGATATAGGACGAAAAGAAGAAGAACAAGATTATGAATGGATAGCAGAAGCTAATTATTTATTGGAACGTTCAGGAGAGACTTATGCCATCCTTGACAGTATTGATCACAGAGATGGGTGGCGAGTCTTTCATCAAGTCAAAGATACTCAACCAGCAGAAGATCACCTTCGATGTATCCAAGATTTCCTTACTACACTCAAACTTCCTACATTTTCCTCCCCTTCACAACGACATCATTTCCTCCATCAAGAATGTGGGATACATGCTATGAACATTTTAATTTTTCCATGTATGTCTGGATTTGAGGCGTATCTGGGCCATATTAAATAAAACAAGCATGTTACAAGTCTGTACACAATGTTAACATGATAGCTTTCCAAAGGATGCCCCAAGCATTCCCTGACTCAGGACACCCTGATTTGTTTCCAGTGTTACCAGAGCCATCTGAAGCAAGAGAGAGGAGCAAGACACAGATGCATGCCCCTAACAAATTCCAAGTATGTTTGACGTGTACGTGGATCATGCAGTATTGACCAGTGGTACATCATCTGACTTCACTTGAATTAAAAGTTGATTACTCACAAATATGGGTTAATTGGATTATTTTAGAGAGATCTGTTGAAAGTCCCCAATCAGTCGAAATCATGAGTTTCGACCAGGATCAGTGTTCAGTGAGAATGGATGGTTTCAAAACACCACTCAGCCAGAATGGACTGTTATGCCTGCAAAGGTGACCACTCAGGGAGAATGGACGGTTTCAATCAAAGTCAACAATCGTGCAGGACAGTTTCAAATAAAGTCAGTATTCAGTGAGAATGGATGGTTTTTTGAACACACCATTCAATCAGAATGGACTGAGTCAACAATCATGCAGAACGGACAGTTTAGGCAAAAGTTACCAATGGAACAGAATGGATACTTTGAATCAAAGTGCCAATGCCCAATCAATAGGATTGGAGTGTTTCAATGAAAGGCACTGTTTGGTGGGTATGGAGACTTTGGTGGAAAGTCACCAATGGCATGGATTGGAGGGTTTTGGTGGAACTGTCCACTTGTGTTTGTTGAAAATGTGCAAAAGGTAGGATAGGATAAATAACTGAAAATTTACAATTTATTCAAATGAATGTATTGGGCAGTTTAGATTGAAAATTCCCAATCCATCTGATCACCACGATCGATGTTCCACCACCAAACAAATGTACTGTAGATTGATTGGTATGAATGCCCAAAAATCTCAGGCTTTCATTTTGAACTCTTCCCTGTTTCAGACCATCAAGCTTCCCAGCACTTTGTGAGTGTTCTCTCCTCCTTTGAAAATTATATATTTATGTTTCAATGTTTATAATATAGTCCATCTGGCATTTGAACAAACAACACTATCAGTACTACTATCCCCATCCCTCCTCAAACATAAAGGAGATGAACTTTGGAAAGCCATGGACAAAGCATACTCTGGGCCATAGGTTACACAGTCTTTCATTTATGCAGTATTCTCACTCATGCATCCTAGGAATTTGTTTGGTCTGGAATACATTTGCACACACCCCAGTGCAACCAAATGTGAGGTTAAGAGTGCATGGGATGAGTTGACCACAAAAATTCATACTTATGCATATATAGTACTCTTTTATGTGTTTATAACTGCCTGCATAATTCAAAACCATCTATAATGATACAGATAGGAGGGCATATAACTCATATAACCAGAAATGAGTGTATATTTACTTAAACAATGCTACAAATGGCAGTCATTGCTGAAGCAAACTTATGTGCTGAAATTTCCAAATATATGCCATTTTATGGTTTTATAACTAGGAAGGAAAATAGGCACCTAGGGGAAAACTAGGGATGCAGATAAAAATTGAAATAATCAGAAAGCAACTGATAATATTTAACTTATTGATAGCACAAAAGAACTAAGTACCTAGAAAATTTTGAGCAATCTTCTTTTATATTAGGTGATATCACGATGGCCGTTTCGACCGTCGTTTTGATGGATGTTTCAAAATCCTCAAAACCATTGGAAAATCAAAACGCCTCTGGAGTCGTTTCAATTTTTCAATGGTTTCAACACTCATTTCTAATTTTCCTGTTTGCCCAGCATGACAGCATCTGGCTTCTAATTATATTTAGCTAAGATCAAATTAAAGTGGTTGAACAACTGTACAGCTGCACCCCAGCAACTCCTGGAATGTTTGAGCTGTCACAGTGAGTTGCTCAGTCATACACCAAGCAACAACACATAGATAGTAGAACATGGCACACAAATTAATGTAGCAATATACCTAGCTAGCCTGTCAAGCCCACAAAGAATTACATAATTATTCTACATTTTTCACCTCTGTGTACTGTGTACATCTATTACAAGACTATCATTACAACACAGTACTATGTGTTTGTATTCAACACTACTACTAGTAATATTTTCTTTCCCTCAAAATTTTCATGCAATTTTCAGTTCAGAGAGCCTGTTGGTCACAGGGTTTGTCCTGGGATAACCAGTCTGGCTGTGGTGACATGACACTGAAGGGCATCACCCAACAGTTGGGAGGTTCCAGCCAAAGTCACGGCACCAGATTTATCTGAGGAAAAGGTGCTTCTAAACAACACTTGAAACTACTTCAAAACCGTGCAGGAACTGGGGATATCATGGTGTGAAATGGTTTTGCATATTTTTCCGTGGATTCACCACACTTTGAAACAGCTGTTGAAACAGCTGTCGAAACAACCGTCGAAACAACCATGAAACAGCCATCATGATATCCCCTAATAATTTCTGCACACTTGCTTCCTTTTGCTTTTGCGGCTTATTTCGGCTTCCTTGTGAAAATTTCTTATGTAAGTAAGCCGAAATAAGGGCTTGAACCAACGACCTTCTGCATGTTAAGCAGACGTTCCACCAACTGAGCTACCGAACCGCTTGGAAGGGCCTGCTGGGTGGTGTGGTGTTCGTGACGAAGCTTTACCGTGGTATTTCCGAGTTTTCGGATTTGAACAGTGACCCAACTTGGGTCCTGATCGGGTTCCTGATTCGTTCGTTTGTTGGGAGGAGAGATGGCCTGGGCCGTATTGACTGGCGGAATTCGAGATGTTGCCTGTTTCGTTTGGGTCTAGTGTGATGCGGGTATGGCGTGACTGGCTGCCGTGTGTGCGCTGAGACGAAGGAGAAGCTGGCGTTGAGGGTAGCCTAGGCCTGAGGCTGGCGTCGATCGTTGATCGCTGATGGTGAGTCGCGCATGAGGTGACTTTGGGAGTGGGAGTTTTTCGCTGCTTCGAAGCTTCGGTGATCGACGGGGTGACAGATGGTGTCGGGGGTTGAGGTGGGAGGGTGTGGTGCGTTGTGCGTGGGCAGGGTGTTGGGAAGGTGGGACAGAAGTGGAACAGGGCCCGAGGTGGAGTCTGCCTGTCGCCTGGCACTGGCGCGAGTCTGAATCGGCCCTCTTTGACGGTTGACGTGAGGACGTCATTGACAGCGGACGTCACGCATTCTAGCATCCCCCGCGTTGGCTGCGGATGTGATACGCAACGAGAGATATGACGAGATGCGAGGCTGGCGGTGACGGAGGTGATGGCGGTGACGAGGTCGCGAGGAGATACGGACGATGCAGGGATGACCAGGCCATGGACAGCAGTGCCTTTGTCGGGCAGGGGAGATGGTGTCTGCAGAGCCATCTTGTGGATAGAT